GGGCGTCCCTCAGCCAGGCCTGCACCCTCTCCAATCTTGGACCCCTTGGGGGATGTCCGACTGCCGTTTACCCCTCACAATCCGGTACTGCTGGCTCCTAACTGTTCGACTGCCTGCCTGATTGTCCCTAATAGTTTCTGCCTGCCAGCCTGTTCACCCTCTAACTGCTCCCCTGCCGGCCTGATTGCTCCCAACTGCCCTCCCCTGCCGGCCATCTTGTGGTGGCCATCTTGCAACGACGTGAGGGCGGCCATCTTGTGATGTTGCACGAGGACATGACACCACCTAGGCTTTTATTATATAGGATAGTTATTCTGATAGGTGTCAGATGATATCTCATTGGGGTTTTGATCTGCATTTCCCTGATGATTGTGATTATGAGCATCTTTTATAAGTCTAGTGGACATCTGTATGTCCTCTTAGGAGAAATGTCTATTTAGGTCCTCTACCCATTGTTTAATTGATTCTTTGTGGGAGTTTTTTAGGCTATTGACTTACATGAGTTCCTTGTATACTAACCTCTTATCGGCTATATATCACTTGCGCATATCTTCTTCCATCAGTTGTCTCCCATTCAGGTTGTCTTCATTTTGTTGATGGTATGCTTTATTATTTTTTAAAACCATGTGATTTGAAGGTCTGGTTCTAACTGTACTTCTATTTTCTTTTTTTTCATAGTACTTATCACCATCAGCAAGGATTTTGTTTTGTTCGCTGCTCTGGCCCCAGCATATAGAATAGTGTTTGGGCCATAATATGTTCTTAATAAATACAATTTTTAAAAATTACAATAATTCTTTTTGAACATACCATTCCTTCTCTACCGTGTTCAATGACCTCATATAAGTGTCTTGAAATTAGCCAACATGTGACTATTTACACCATAGAAATTGGCAAAGCTATAAATCAGGACTTGATTTGTTGTTTGTTTTTTTCCTGATTGTCTAGACCAGAGGTGGGCAAACTTTTTGACTTGAGGGTCACAACGGGTTCTTAAACTGGACCGGAGGGCCGGAACAAAAGCATGGATGGAGTGTTTGTGTGAACTAATACATGTTAACACTGCTGCTGGTGAAGGAGCGGAGGGGAGAGCAAGAGAACCCTCCGCTCTTTCGGCTCCGCGGGCTGGATAGAACAGCCGAATGGGCCGGATCCGGCCCACGGGCCGTAGTTTGCCCACGGCTGGTCAAGACCCATGGTCAGCAAACCCCGGCTCACGAGCCACATGCGGCTCTTTGGCCCTTCAGTGTGGCTCTTCCACAAAATACCACATGAGGGCATGCACATACAGTGCGATTGAAACTTTGTGGCCCATGTGCAGAAGTCGGTATTTTGTGGAAGAGCCAGTAGTTTGTGGAAGAGCCACACTGAAGGGGCCAAAGAGCCGCATGTGGCTCGCGGTCTGCCAGGCCGCAGTTTGCCGACCACTGGCCTAGACAGACCTCTACAAGTGATAAAATATCAACAATGGACTAAACTTAAAAGTGTGTGTTGGATAATACCAAAATACTGAATAAATAATATTCCAGTATTTAAAAACCTATTCATTTTCAGCAGAATCACATATCATTGAAAAATGAGTGAAATTCCAACACCGTGTCTTCATGATTTCACTTTCATCTTACTTATCACTGCACAGGAAAATATCAACCAACATTCTTATCGGAACTACACTCAGAAAGCTGGTTGTTCATCACTAACCTGCACAGCACTGCCCCTAGCCCATGTGAGCCTTCAGATCTGGTCCCAGGTGCCTCCCTTCCGAACATTCTTTTTGGCATCTAAAGTCTAGTCACACTGATCTTGTTGATACCCCCAAAATCTGAAGTTTTCCTACCTCAAGGTCTTTACCCTTGTCCTTTGGTCAGGAATTTCTTCCCATAGATTTGTGCATAGCTGACTCATCATGATCATCGAGGTCTCAGATCAAATGTCACGTGAGAGAGATTCTCTGAGTACTCTAAAGTACTGCTTCTTCCTAGTCCCTGTCCTCCTTATCCTATTTTATTGACGTCATTGTACTTTCTGCTACCTGAAATATTTATTAATTTACTTGTCAAATGGCTGCCTCCTGTCCCTCTGAGGTTCGCTAGAGCAATACCTTTGTCTACCTGTTTCCAGTGTAGCTTTTGCACTTGGTATGGTGCCTAAATAGGGACTAAATAATTGCTGACTGACCAGTTAGAGACTACTGTGTCAGGTAACGATCTTGGGCTCATCACTACCACTTTTCCTTAAGTACAGCCAATAGATAGGGAACTTTTTAGAAACTAGATTGCTATAGAAGCTGTGAGAAAATGCAAGTGGGGAAGAAACCTCCACCGCAGTCTTGGACACTGCTGCCCAGAGCATCCCTTCTTCCTCTGTCTTGCCCTTTCCTTCTCCTGTGCTCCCAGAGACTCATACTGGACAGACCGTGTAAAGCAATGGCTCTCAAAACGAAGAGAGAGGTTGAGATCAAACCTGTGAGGTTGTGAGGATTAGGAAGCAAAGAGTAAAATGGGAGGGCACGGGTGGAGAATGAAATCAGGTTTTACAGAAGTAAAATGGTGACAATGAGCACTAGCCATGCACCCAGATGACTTAAATACTAGCACTAAATAAGTCCATGTGGAAACTCCTCTCTTCCAGAAGGAAAGATAAATTAATCTGTGATCTTTAAAACACTTTAAAAACTTGATCATTTTCGCCTCCATTCAATTTATAACCTGCATCAAATACCACAGAGATGTCAATCACATTAAGGTAGCTGCATTGGCCAACAGGTTTCTCTCTCATAGGGATCGCTGTGTAGATGAGGTGATTCAACTGTGGTTGTATTTATTCCACAAGGTATTAGTTCATCTCTAGTTAAATCCTAAGGGTAAAATGTACTACAGTCCAGGGTCTACATGGAATATGACTCCTTGGACCATCCACACAGAAGAAATATTCCTGCTCTTGGAGAGTATTTCCATATTATATGGCCATGCCCCCCCAATAGAAGATTAATATGAGGCAGACGGAGCAGGAACCCTGAAATGATGACAATAATGGTACTGACCATCTCTGCTCTTCACTGTCCTAAGTTTAGGTGCATTACTGCTAACAGTATTCATGACGGCGTACATTAACACGTATTAACCCATTTAATCCTGATAACAACCCTGTGAGGGAGGTTCTGTCATTCTTCTCATTTTACAGTTGAGCAGAGTGAGACCCAGAAGAATTTAATCATTTATCTTAACTCAGTGGTTCTCAACCTGTGGGTCCCGACCCCTTTGGGGGTCAAACAACCCTTTCACAGGGGTCGCCTAAGACCATCGGAAAACACATATATAATTACATATTGTTTTTGTGATTAATCACTATGCTTTAATTATGTTCAATTTGTAACAATGAAAATACATCCTGCATATCAGATATTTACATTACGATTCATAAGAGTAGCAAAATTACAGTTATGAAGTAGCAATGAAAATAATTGTTTGGTTGGGGGTCACCACAACATGAGGAACTGTATGAAAGGGTCACGGCATTAGGAAGGTTGAGAACCACTGTCTTAACTCACATAGTAAATCACAGGTCAGGATTCAAATCTGAACAGCTTGGCTCCAGAATCTATGCATGTAGCCATTCTGCAAAACCAGACAGCCCTGTGAATATCCTTGTTTTACAGATAAGGAAACTGAGCCGCAGATGCGTTAAGAAACTTGTTCATAGTCACACAACTAGCAGCTGGTAGAGCAAAGCTTGGATCCCAGTCAGTTGGATTTCACAGCCTCTTCACCACAGGTCCGCTGCGAGTTCAACCCTGAGACTGTAGACAGCTAGCTCAGAGCCAAGGGCGAGGGGGAACAATTGATGGTTTACAAACAGTCCCACCCTTAGGACTGCTGATTCATGCTGCTCCTGTCTCTTTATAGTACAGCGTGAGAGTAAGGGGTTTAGGTTTGAGCGTGAGTTTGCCTATTTCACTTGACTCTAAAACAGAGGTAAGAACAGAGTTTTCACGGGGATTAAAGCACTTAGCACAGTATCTGGCACAGAGTAAGGGCTTAATATAAATGAGTATTACTGATTATCATCTTAGGCGGTTGCCAAAAGCGACTCTGACCAAAACTTGTAAATAAACTGAATCCTGCAGCTCTATATAAATATCCTTTTAAAAGATGTCAAATCAAATCTCACGTTAAAATTTGTACAGGAAATTCTATATCTGATAGGTTAATATGTTCTTAGGCAACAGTTTGCAGTCCCTGAAATGTAGCAAGTAAGTAAAATACATGAGTGTTAAATCAATTCAAAATGTAAAGATCTGCAAGACAAGTCTATTAAAAAAATCACAAGAAAACAGAACTGGAAATATAAAACCAAAGAACCACATGTCATAAAAATTCAAACTATACCTGGAACATCTTAATTAATCAAATCAGGCTCTTGTAATACTGCAGGGTTTTGGTTTTTTTTTAAAGACCGAAATATATATATATATATATATATATATATATATATATATATATATATATTTTAAATATATTTTATTGATTTTTTACAGAGAGGAAGGGAGAGGGATAGAGAGTTAGAAACATCGATGAGAGAGAAACATCGGTCAGCTGCCTCTTGCACACTCCCTACTGGGTATGTGCCCGCAACCAAGGCATATGCCCTTGACCAGAATTGAACCTGGAACCCTTGAGTCCGCAGGCCAATACTCTATCCACTGAGCCAAACCGGTTAGGGCTCTATTTTAAAAGTAGTAACAGAATTTCATAACAAAAGTTTTATTTCCAGCTCTTCCCATTTGACAGCCCCCAAACTGTAATTTCAACAGCACCATTAACATCGTGGGCCATAAAGAAAATATGTAATTGCTTAATAAATGTGAAAGGTATTTCCTAAGGTGCTTTGGGCCTAAATCACTTGCCTAAGCCACAGACCTTATTTTTCCTGTACGTAAAATAATCAGGACACTGACTTCATACCCACGCCTTAAACCACCTGGCACTTCACAACGATACCTTTCTTCGTTGCATCGGGTGAGCAGTCGTGCTCTTCTTTGACAGAGACTTTACAACTCTTCATCCGACAGAAAAAGGACCGTCTGGAGCCAGAGCACACTCGAGTCCTTCCGCCATGGAAATTACTGGGAACTTGCAAACCCGCTGGCACAGGAGGAGGAGGCAAGAGAATAGGTAGAAAAGAATATTTTTAAGCAATTTTGAAATTTATCTCCTAACACTTTTCTGATCATCTATTACATTTTTTATATATAGAAAAGAGAAATGGTTATTTAAAACAGTATCATTGTAAGCCAGGAAGTGAAACATACCAAAAAATGTACTTGTCAAGCAATCATATTTTTGATCACTTACAAACTTTCAACTTATTTTTATACCCACCCCCAAGGGGCGGAGCATAAAGATCATTTTAAATGAAATAAAAATTAAATTAAAAAGAAAAAAAACCTCAATTATAATAGTAATCAATGGCAAAAAGTATCATTATTTTATATTATAAATGATTACTTGGCACTAAGCATTTTCAGAGAAGGTAAGTATTTTCAGAGAGAAAATAAAGCATACTTACAACTCCCAAGCAATATTATACATGGTGTTTCAGAATGAATAGACCTAACCCATATAAGAGAATAATTCTCTCTCAGCAATAGCTGAATAGTGAAAACTTCAGCAATTTTTTATCCCAAAAGATACTTTCTTGTAAAGATTTTATTAGCATACAAAAAGAGTGAATATGAAGCAATCACATTTTCCTCAAAGCATCTTCATATGAATATAGTATTTATTTTTATATGAATACAGGAATTGTCTATATAATTATATTGTTTTTTTTAAAAAATCTAACTTTTCAACAACATTGTATAGCTGTACTTTTAAGTACTAATTATATTTACATGAAATGGTAAGCACACTGAGATGAGCACTTACTTTTAACATCTATTAACTTCTCTCTTGGTGAAATGTCAGAAGACAGCTGTTCCTTTACTTTGGCAACATCTTTTGGATGTAAGAAGTCAAATAAGCTCTGTCCAGTCAAACTAGCCTATATATAAAGTAGACATTCATTTAAAATCAGTACCATAATTTTCCTACCTATCTTCATACAGACATAATGCTTTCTTTTGTTTAAGTTGTTTTTAGTTAATCTCAAAGATGCATCTGCTACACTGTATGAGAGCAACAGTGTTAAAAGCAAGGTCATACCTGTAGGCAGAAAAAGAAATACATGCACAGCCAGCCATAACTGGGTACACACAAACACCTCACCACTGGTATTCTGTTTACTCTCATTAACTCTTGTTAACATCCCCCCCATTCATATATGTTACTTCTAAGTCATATTAGGATTTATTTTAAACTTTACCCTTGGCGCCCTAGCTGGTTTGGCTCAGTGGATAGAGTGTTGGACTGCGGACTAGAAGGTCCTGGCTTAAATTCCCGTCAAAGGCACATGCTCGGGTTGTGGGCTCAATCCCCAGTAGGGGGCGTGCAGGAGGCAGCCGATCAATGATCCTCTCTCATCATTGGTGTTTCTCTCTCCCTCTCCCTTCCTCTCTGAAATCGATAAAAAATATATTAAAAAAATAAATAAAAAATAAACTTTACCCTTGGTAAAAGTAAAGCGAGTATATTATCATATCATATGGAAGTCACAAAATAACTGTGAATTTATGGTGTAACTTAGATTTACCACTCTGTTAAAAAAGTTACCATACTATCAAAAGACAAAGTCCAACCCAGGACACAGCCCAATAGAAAAAAGGGTTCAGAAAAAGAGCTCTGAAATCTGTTTGTTCAAAAAAACTAAACATAGTGTGGGAAATATCCTTTGCATACCTGATCATAATTAAGTATTTTGGAGACTGACTTAGAAACGAAGAGAATTTTTCCTCTTTCACATCCAACCACAAACAGGAAGCCTTCTGCAGTCTAGGATATAAAAATACAAAAATAAATTTTAAAAATATCATCTGTCTTTCTCACACACATCCATTCCCTTTCTGAGAAAACTGTTGTAGCAATAAAACCAACAGTGGGGTCATAAATGTAGTAAAATTAATTTTAAGAAATTGTCTTAAGATGTATATAAATAGATTTATAAAGAACATCACCTTGGACCTCTGACTAAATTAATATTTTTTTTTCACATGAGAAGTTCGGCCAGGGATTATTTAGTTAAATAGTTCACAATGTAAAAATTACCTAAACCGAATTCCACACGACTGCATACAGAAACTCTGTAGAGATACCCATCAGTAACGACTGCCTGTGGGTGTGTGCAGATGGAAAGATGTGCATACTGGGGATGAGGAAGGCATGAAAGTATTTTACTGTACATCTTTTTATACTTCTTGAATAATGATAAGCTATCAATCAAAACTAAGTTTTAAGAATTCTAATAGATGGCAACTTCCATAAGTATACCCAGTAAATCCCCTGTGCAGCAACCTTGGAAATGGATATGTATGGACAGAGGAAGAGTCTGGCACTCCCACCTGACATTTCTTAAACTAATATTTACCAACTGGAAACAAACATGGCGTGAATTAGGCAGATGTGTTCTGGGGGTTATATTAAGTTATGGCTAAAAAAAATAAAAAATCGGTGAGAAAGCTTCCAAAGCATACTATATATTTCACCGTCTTTAAAAATACTTTTGTTTTCTGCAAAAAATCTGTGCTATTCCTATCAGGAATATGATATTTAAATTCAGCTGTTCAAATAAAAGAGGGACATGAAGAATACTTTTGTTTAATCAAACTATAGGTTAAAACCCAGTAGTCATAGCACAAGATCAAGACACTTAGTCCTGGGGGCAGGATGAGCCAATGACGTGGTCATATTTTCCATGTCAAATAAACCTCTAGACCAGTGAATCCAAAAACCCATGCCAAAGCATGGCCTAACAACTCATTAAGTAAGCAGTGGCTGGCTAATGGGCAGAGAACAGGATCCTGAAGGAATAGGATACAAGACAGACGGCTCTGCAGGAGGTACCGGTGAGGAATAGGTCCTACCGTATGGGAGGTGAGTGCACTCGGCAGTGTGAGGGGCTGGCATTAAAGAGAAGCCTTGCTCCATATTTTAGGAAGTGCCTCACTTCCCTCTCTACTTTCATTAGCCCAAACTAATAAGACATGGTTACTTGTGCAAGTTAAATTTTATATTAAAGGACATTTGGGGTAATGTAGAGTCCTGTATGTTTAGAACAGAAAGCAAACTAAAGAAAATCTGCCTCCCATTCAAATAGAAATGAAAGGGCAAATGCAACTTAGGCAAATACATTTCTTTATTTACCTTAAGGACTAGGTGTCTGAGCTCATTATCCTGAATAAATGAAGGTCGATAAATATCTCCTGCATAAGAATTTCTCATACCTAAAAATAAGCAAGTCAAAAAGTTACTAAAAATATAGTAGGGTTGGGTTGGACATGTGGTAGGTGCTCAGTGAACATTTGCGATGCCGCCACTGGTGAGAACAGTGATGGTACTTGTAGCACATCCTACAACCTCTTCTGTGATTGTTCTCTTTCTTTCTTTTTTTTTTAATCTTTAAATTCTTTATTAGTTAAGGAATTACAAATGTGTCCTCATTCCCCCCCATGAACCCCCATCCCCTCCCCACTCATGCTCTCATCCCCCTGTTGTTACTAGATTAAAAAGTCCTGCGTTTAGAATGTAAATTCTTGGAACCACTATTCCTTTATAGATTGAAATGTGCAGATAGTAAGAGCTGTATGTAAAAAAAAAAAAAAAAATCAACTAATACATCATCTATAGCATTATAATAGGTAACAATATTCAAAAACCTAGTTATTTTTAGATCTTAGCTTAATAAAACTAATCTCATATGAACTACCTTGAATGGGGCGATTCTGGAATTCTAAACAAATTTCATGGGTTCATAGGATTTTGCATATGACCCTTTAAACATCACATGGCGAGTTCTGCTACTTTAAAGTAATATATTTCTGCCAAAACCGGTTTGGCTCAGTGGATAGAGCGTCGACCTGCGGACTGAAGGGTCCCGGGTTCGATTCCGGTGGAGGGCATGTACCTTGGTTGCGGGCACATCCCCAGCGGGGAGTGTGCAGGAGGCGGCTGATCGATGTTTCTCTCTCATCGATGTTTCTAACTCTCTATCTCTCTCCCTTCCTCTCTGTAAAAAATTAATAAAATATATTAAAAAAAATAAATAAAGTAATATATTTCTGCTAATATAAATGAAATAATTATTTTTACATCCTTAGCACAGAGCTTACTGTATTAAAATGAAATTCTCTAAAGCATCTGAAGAGCTAATGAGGAACTATCGGCTCAAAACAGGAATGCTTGAGGGCATCCAACAACCCTGACACAGGAAAACCCTGCATGGCCACAAGGGGGCGCCGGAGACAGTCCACCAACCAAGGTGTGCTGTCCCCAGATAACTCTGAGCGGGGTGACTCCGAGGTAAATCAATGCTCTCTCCTTCATACTTCCCAGCCTCCTCACCCGCAACCCCCTCCTTCTGAGGACTGCAAGGAAAGTTGCTTTTGCAAGAGAAATTTTAACCGCGAATTGACTCTTGAATGGATTTACAGCCCAAACTCACCAATTACCTAAGTGGTGGGAGGAAAACAATGCCAGAAAATAAAAAACATCTCTTACTATGATTTGGTAAAGTGTTTTTCTCAGACTGGTAGCACCCCTGAGAATCTGGCATAAGCAAAAGAAAATCTTCTCTCCTGGAATCTACCTTCTAGGTAGGCCTCAAAGAATTCACTAAGTGATTTCCTGTTACTACTACACAGCAGCCAGATAGGAGAGCACTGAGAAAGGGCTAAAAGATTCAGACTCTGAGTGCTATGCTAGGATTCAGCAATAAATCAACCTGAGCAAGGCAGTGACATTTCCAGGTCTGGCCCGAAGCAGAAGCGTGCCAGGGAAACCCTGATAGTATAAACCAGCAGGAAGGGGCGAGCCCTGGGGAGGTGAGTGAACGAGTAAGTGAGTGAGGACGTGCTAAGGAGAAACAGAGGGAGTGAGAGCAGAGCTGGAATCAGGGTGAGGAGAGTTAATAAAATGCATGCTGTGATATGCTGTACACTTGCCAAAGATGGGGTGGTAACAAATATGACTAATTTCTGATGGCAAAAACAAATGAGGAAACAATCACTTTTGTTACAGTGTTCATCAGGTTAAAAAAAAAGTCAACATGACAATAATAATAATGATCGTTATAATGAGGATAATCATTATAATGATAACTAGAGGCCCAATGCATGAAATTTGTGCAAGGGGCTCGGCCCTCGAAGCCCCGGCTTTGTCCAGACGGTCTCGTTCTGCTGTTCGGTCTAATTAGCATATTAGCTCTTTATTATAAAGGATAGGATAATGGTCAAAATACCAACTATTTCTTCTCCTCCCCTTACCACCACTTCCATTGTTAGTAAACACTGTGCTCACCTTGTATATGCATTATTCTTTACTCTAAACAACAATCCTATGAGACAAATGAATTATCTCTATTTTACAGCTATGGAAGTTGAGGATTAGAAAGTTAAGTCACGCCCTAACCGGTTTGGCTCAGTGGATAGAGCGTCGGCCTGCAGACTGAAGGGTCCCAGGTTCGATTCCAGTCAAGGGCATGTACTTTGGTTGCGGGCACATCCCCAGTAGGGGGCGTGCTGGAGGCAGCTGATGGATGTTTCTCTCTCATCGATGTTTCTAACTCTCTATCCCTCTCCCTTCCTCTCTGTAAAAAAATCAATAAAATATATTTTTTTAAAAAAAGAAAGTTAAGTCACATAGCTATTCAGTTGGGGAGCCAGGATTTGAACCCAGGAGGTTTGCCTCCAGGACCCACAGGCACACACTACCGTCCCAGGTATTAAGACCACACACACAGAATGTCCACAGGTTCTCCAAAAGCACATGCTGCAAGCAGGCTACTCCAGGTGTGGTCTATAGACCAATGTCATCGGTCAACTGTGGTGAGATGAGTACAGAAATTAAGAATAAGCATTGAGACACCATTATAGAAATGTAACCTTGTGGCATCCCAGCCCATGAACATTTTTCCAAGAACCAACTGTGCTATATTTTACAAGGGATGGGGGTGGGGAACACTTGCCCTTCACCCAGAGAGTTTGAGAAGCACTGCTGTAGAGTGCAGTAAAAAAAAAAAAAAAAATTATTTCACCATTCTCTTTCTTTAAGGTAATTAATTATGTACAGACCAAAACAGCATGATCCACACGCAGCCTCTGATGACCCAGTGTCTCTGGTGGGGGTGAGTTGGGGTGCACTCTGGCAGTGCGCTGGAGTGCAGACAACTGCTTTTAGTCCTCTCCCTGTGGCAGCACTCGCGACAGCCTCACTTTGGCTCTGAAGGGCCACTGGTGAAATCTATGCTCTGTTCCAGAAATCCTCTGTTGGTGCAGACAGTGTCTCCTGCCTACTCTCCTCTCACTCATTCCTCCACTGTAACATTTACTGATCTCTTCATGGGTCCATCTCCCTCAACCGGCCATGAACCCTTCAAACACGGAGATCTTACCTCATTCAATTTCATATCCCCAGCACAGAACAGGAGCCTTGTCAATAATCAGCTGGTGTTGGTTGAATTAACTGACTCATGGATTCTCCCTTAGGTCCTCCTCCCTCGGGACATTGCAAATGTGAAAATTATTGGGCAATTTTAGGTTTGCAACCAAATGACCTCAGTTGAGCCTGCAAATGTTCATTGCTAAAAGATTTAAGGGAAATATTGCGTGCAACTTACGCAAGACCTAGTAGTAGGTAAAAGAGAATCTTATTTATGTCATTTCACAACAGACTTAGGAAAATAAGACCGCCAATCATGCTCCCAACAGGAAGACTGCCAGGCAGTATCCCAACACTTGAGCTGCTCTGCGTGGCACTGACAGAATCAAGGGCTGGCTGCACTTCCTCTTCCCCGATGCCTCCTCTCCAGATCCGCACAGAGTCCGCGGGTGGAAGCGCATGTGCCATTTTTCTACCATATGTGGAGATCTAAGGAAGATGATTTAAAGTATCTATTTTTACAACTTGCACAAGTTACTATTAAACAGGCCTTTAATAGCTGTCTGCAATTTTACTTCCTAATTTGTATACGCTCGCCCTCCCCTACCTCTGTCAATCAGAATGGACTGGCCAGGATTTTTTTGTTTATTATGAAATAAGATCCTCTGTGGGCTCCAGTTTTCACTGGAAGTCTAGGTTAACACTGTTCTCCCCTAAGTCACTTGGCCAAGTCCCTCTAAACAGACTTTCCTTTTCCTGGAAGGCAATGTAGGAGGACAAAGACCTAATCAAGAACCTTGGTCATCCTTTGTTTATTCCTTTTCTATAACTTTTCTTTTTTTTGGTGTTTTGTTTTTGGTGGGGTTTTGTTTGGCTCAAAAAGAACCAAATTTTACTATGATCTTTTAGATCTTCACAAATCTGAACTTTCAGAGTCTCCTCTGTGGCCTGTAGCTCACTCCTCTGCTACATCTTCTCAAAATCAATTCGTGTCGTTAACATTCCCGTATCTAAAACTCAGTTCTATTTCCATCATACTGCCCCTCCCCCAAGCTGGCCTGGGGTAACTCCCAAAAACAATGTGATTTTGACCAAACATACGCGCGCACACACACTTCAATTTAAAATTCTAGCTCAAGTTGGGGAGCTGCTTGGGTCAGAAATGGCCATGAAAACCCCAGAAGCAATAGCTGAGGACCTCCTTCATCCAATGTCTAATACAAAGTGAGAACCCCTTAGAAGAGGAAGGTGTGCTGCATTTTAAGGTACTACTGCTCATAAATCTGACGTTTTCGGAGAAATTGGCTGAATTTAAGATTTTCTTTTCGAAGAATGGAAATCTGCCAACAACTAAAACTATAATCATACATTTCAGAACTTCTAAAATACTGAGAGGCACATAATGGCAGGCATTACTATCTTTGTATTACATACATGGGAAAACAAGTAGAAATGTACAGACTTTTCAAATTCACACATAGCTGAAGATAAAGCTTTTAGCAGAACCACATTTCCTGACGTCCAAATTAGCATCTTCTCCACATACAGAATATGGTCAAGCATCGAATTAATGTCTCCAAAGCTGAAAGACACCTTCGCAAAGCATCTCAATAGCCAACGAGAAATAGCCAGACCAATCGGAGACCTCAGTGACAGGGAGGATGTCACAAAGCCAGGTGTGGAGGCCATGCTCAAACTCACCTTTTAGAGACTTCAGGTGCTGCACGGCCATTCTTAAAACGGTCAGTTTGTCCAGCTTCCGTGCCATGGGCTTGCACTGGGGGATCATTGCCGACAGTTCTTCAATCAGGCTGTTCATTTTATCTCTCCTCCGCTTTTCGGTTTGGCTGTGAGCTTCGCTAAGAAGGAAAAGAACCTTTACATTTCACATTCAGCAGCCCCACGGTGACCCAGAGGCATGAGCCGGAGCCTGCGTGGAGGCAGCAAGTACACACTGTTCTTCCCACCCATGGCCCTGCAGGTGCTGCGTGGGGAAGAGGAAGGCGCTGTTGGGAACAGGAAGCACACATGAAATTCACAGTGCTCTCAACTCAGCCACTACCCTTGCTCCTTCCTTACCCTACCTTACATCCTGACACCTTCAAGAACTAAGACATTTGTCTGAGAGCCAGGATGAGTGGTATTCTTGCTTCCCTCCAGTCTTAAAGGAAGATGGGTAGCCTTCTATTCAGAGCTCATGCCTCTGTGATACTCACTTAGACAATTATCAGCATCGTAACCTCGTTCTCTTCCATCGCTCTTTCTCAGGGGTCTATAATGTGCTCCAGTTTCTGCCCTCTGCAAATGCCCTTCCCCTAGTTGCCCTTGAACTTGACACTGTTAACATTCCTCATTCTTCACCTGGCTTCAGTGACCTCTCGGGCACCTCCATCCTCCCTGCTCGGCTCAGTCCCCTTATCTTTAAGTACAGGTTTCTCCAAAGACTTCCTACTTGGCACCACTCTTTTCTCACCCTATAGCTTCACCCTAAGAGATCTCACTCCCTCATAACTACTCATAAGCTACTTACTTTTAAATGCTTATACTTCACCCAGTTCCTGACTTTTTAAGAATTTATCTTAACTGATAAAAGTTACACAGATGAACCTTTTCCCTCATTGACCCCTTCTAGCCTACCCTCTCCCCTCATCCCATGTGTCATGCGTATCTTCAATATATATAAAACCCTAATATGCAAATAGACTGAACGGCAGAACAACCGGTCGCTATGACATGCACTGACCACCAGGGGACGCACATGGAACATGGCGGGGTGCCGGTTGCTGTCATCAGGGCGAGCCTCTGGTGGTTACTGAAAATTCTTTGCTCCCGCACACCACCGTCCCACCTGGTGCTCACATCTGCTGCCGGCACTGGCCCCACTGGAACTCACTGCCAGCGCTGGAGCCACCGCTCCCACCCACAGCCAGCACCCGGCGCTAATCCCAATCACTCGGCACCGTCAGTGTGTGCAAGCAATGGGTGCCAGCCCCGATCGCCCCTCAGGGATTCTCCACTGCCCCCTGCTCCTGAGGGGCGATCAGGGTCGGCAACCACCTCTCGCACCCACAGCTGGCGCCAGAGCCACTGCTCACACCCGCTGCTGGCACGCGGCACCAGTCCCGCTCGGCACTGTCAGCGGGTGCGAGCGGCGGCTGCCGGCCCCAGTCACCCCTGAGGGCTCCTCCACCTCCCCCTGCTTTGGTTAATCTCTTCCCACCTATCCACCCACTCCCTGCCTTCCCTCCGAGATTCACCCTTTTATTTTGTTCTTTAGATTCCACATATGAGTGAGATCATGTGATACTTGACTTTCTCTGACTTACTCTGCTTAGCATAATACTCTCCAGGTCCCTCTGTGCTGCCTCAAATGGTAAAATATCCATTTTTACTGCTGCACAGTATTCCATGGTGTAAATATACCACAGCTTTTTTATCCACTCATCTACTGATGGACACTTATGATAGCTTATTGCACTAACCCAGAAAGCCTTTTAAACTCATGTTCCTTCTTCTGTCTTCCCTTTCTTGTCTATCCTGCCCACTACTTCCAGAATTATTACTTCTAAACAAATCAAACCATCTAATCCCATTGCATAAAACTGCCAAAATGCATTTCTCCACTGCCCAAGAATGCCCAAACTCCCTAATGACACCCCAAATTTCTCCATCCTCTGCCTCATCCTTTCAACTCGTTTCACCTCTCCCTGTCTTTTCCCTGCTGCTCCAAATGTCCTGCAGCAGCAATGCCAAATGACCTGCAGTCCTCAAACATGCCACATTGCCTCATATCATCTCTACGTCCTGCTCTTTACTAGGCTTAGAAAGTCTGTCCCTTCTATATTCTTAGGAAAATGCTACTCCTTTTTCAAAGCCCAGCCCAGGTATTCTGCTGGGAAGCGTTCTTTGCCTGCTGTACAATGAATCACTTCCCTGTCAGCTACCTCAGGACTTTTTATGCCACCACTATATTTCATCAAATCTAAGCCACAATCAATTGTAAGATGCACTAATATTTAATGCATTACAAGAAGAGGAAAAAATGCTGCTAATTTAACAGGAAAATGCCAAAGACGATAAGACATTTTTCACAGATTATAAAAGGTAGGGGGAACTGTACATCTTAGATTTCACAAATTTGGCTATTTTACTCTTCATATTTAACTGTAAACATTTGTCTGTTTCTCCTCCAATCATGGCTTCTATGTTAGAAGAGTTTAGGGGAAAACGACCTAATGGGAAAGAAGATAAGTAAGTAGGAGACCTGCCTTGATCTATTTTTATAGGAACTTTCAAATACATGAAAGGAACTGTAATATTTCTACATGGAAGTGGGGAGCAGCACTGATGGAGACAGATGGAGCCAACCCCCCCACCCCCCGAACCATTCGCTCTTGGGCAACGCCACTCCTGGAACAAAATATGCACTTCTGGGTAAACTGGATGGAATGTGAATTATATGTGTGTTTGCATCAAATTTATTTACTCATACTTTGGCCTATTCATGAGCAATTTTTAGATTAAAATTGTATGATTAAAAGAATGTTACAGTTACCCTCTTGCAGGAATGGTCACCTCTTCTTTCTACCAGTATTACCCATCAGAATAAACAGCAGCAGCAGCGAGAGATGCCTGATTCCAGGAGTGCACAGCAAAGGAAGGATGTTATGCTCTCTCTCAGCTAGGGTTTTGAGGGAGGTGAGAGCAAGGCCACTGAAGAGAGCAATGAATGATAATGGTGGAAGCTAGGAAACTCACAGAAAGGTGAAATCGCCAGTTTTTTAATAAGGTAGGTTACTTGGAGGAGAAATGAAAAGATTTCCAGCGTATTTTATTAAGGAAAGGCATATGTATCCAGAGGCTAGTTTCTGCTTAATAATTTATCAGGGCTCTGGTTCTTAATTCTGTATGCTGTTATTGCCACTTTGAATCATGTCAGTGTTTGGGAGAATTACATCAATAAAACAGAATCAATGGAAAAAAGGCAAAGCTGAGATTTGGCCATGCTGCCAGATGTAGAAAAAAATGTTGTTGATGTTGAAACAACTGACAAAAAATTCATGATGATGGACTCCTAATCAGATATCTGTTGTAAATATCTGTTGTAAATATTTGTTGTAAACCTAATGTGTTTGTATTAATTTAGAAATGTAGTCACCAGACCACTACCAAAGTGAAATACACTAATGGTGATAGAATACTTTCCACATTAACAAATTATTTCCAGATGTATTATTTTTTTGAAGGGGCATTTGAAAATTCAGGAAAAGCACCCATAATCTCACCTGGAAATAACCACAGTTAATATTTGTTTACAGCATGAATCAGCTTCCCTCCAGTGCGGAAAGAAAATAATAGTTCTTAATAAACAGCTACTCTAAGAAAAATTCAAAGACACATAAGCCAAATTGTTATTCAAACAGAAAAGAAAGGTAAGAGGTAGCTGATGATCACTACCTCTTACAGCATAAGATGAGAAAAACCTAATATTCATGAATCCATTCTCTTGACATCACCTTTGGCTTTGGCTAAAGGTGTGCATGTGTGACTTTTTCGATCCACCATGGACCATCTATACAGTTCAACGCCCCCGAAGGACTTCATTTTTACTTGTTCACCATCTTCCATTCTACAAAAAGCAGGATAAAATTTCAAACTACATGAAACAGCTTTTCAGTAATTCTTGAGAGAGAGATAAAGATGAGATTAAGTCCAATCAACCTAATTTCCTATTAAGTCTTTAGTAACAGATACTATCATAGCTCCTAATGACCTGAAATGACTTCTACTGTTACATGAGCTTTTCTATGAAAGCCAAGAAGCACATCTTCTCTGTCAGGGTAACAACTACGTTAACTGACAACAAAAACTGGTGCCCTAGTTAAAAATTATCCCATGCCAATATATTAATAATATAATTTTATAGAAATAAAGTTATTCTTTTTAAAGCAATTGATGACTCAACCAAAAAATTTATAATAGCTGCATTAGAATAGTCTGAAAATGCACTAAAAGTCTCAGACCTTTAATCAAAAGGAATTTATTTTGCCTAAAGATTCATCTGAATAAGAAATATTGAAAACTGAAAACTTTGATCACTTGCCAATAATATTAATTATCACATTACTACATTCTGCTAGGAATATACTATATGTACATATATGTGTGTATAAATATTTATATCTAAATATACATACATGTGTTTGTATTAATTTAGAAATTTAGTCACCAGACCACTACCAAAGTGAAATACACTAATGGTGATAGAATACTTTCCACATTAACAAATTATTTCCAGATGTATTATTTTTTTGAAGGGGCATTTGAAAATTCAGGAAAAGCACCCATAATCACATCTGGAAATAACCACAGTTCATATTAATGGGTCTCCTTCCAACCTCTTTTTAAACATGTATTTAAATACATACCAAAAAAAAGAATGCAAGCTTTCTCTGAAAACTACTTTCATTGCATTTTGAATAAAATGGAGGCCTGCTCCCTGAATCAACCACAGACAAATTAAACTGAAAGCAAATACAATCAAAACATTCTCCAGATTTGCCCCTTTTCCTACCTTCTTCTTCTTGAAACTTTCTTCCTTTGGTTTCTGAGATACTACTCCCACTGTAGGGCCAGGTCTTCTTACATTTTGGGTAGGATTCCCCTTCCTTTACTGTATTTAGGCTCGTGTACCAGAGTATATCCTCAGCCCCCGAGTGGCTGCGCCCATGCCAATCACCACACCTGCTTTCTGTGCATTCTTGGTGTCTGACTCTAGCTCCAGGCCCAACCTCAACCCTCATAGCCACCCGCCTACTTGAAGATCCCATAAACATCACATTACCATTGTGTCCCAAACTGAATTCTTCCTCTTTCCCTCAGCCTCATGGAATGATACCAGCATCCATCCATCCAAGTCAGAAAACTCAAAAGACACTTATTTTCCTGCTCTCCCTAACGAACAGTCATGAAATCTAAAGGGTTTCCATCTTTAAAATGTGTCCTTCCCGTCCAGGGCTATGCTCTCAATACCTAATTCCGAGTAAAAGGCTCTCAGCTGCTTCCTCTACCTGCTGGGTTTTCCTCCTTCGGCCCATCCTCCACGCTGTTTCGAGTGATCCTTTGAAAATGGATCACTTACTAGGATAGCCTTTTGCTTTTTTAATGGAAAATAACAAGTGTCAGCAAGAATGTGGAGAAATGGGATCTTTCGTACATTGCTGGTGGGAATGTAAAATGGTGTCGCCACTGTGGGAAACAATTTGTTGGTTTCTCAAACACTAAATATGGAATTACCATATCTACTCCTAGGTATGTACCCAAAAGAGTCGAAAGCAGGTACTTGTACACCAATGTTCCTGGAAGCATTATTCACAATAGTCAAAAGGTGGAAACAACCCAAATGTCCATCAGCAGATGAATGGATAAACTAAATGTGATATATACTAACAATGGAATATTATTCAACCATTAGAAAGAATGAAATTTGAAAACATTAGGCTAAGTAAAATAAGCAGTCACAAAGGGACAAATATTGTATAATTTCACTTATATGAAATATCTAGAATAGGCAAATTTATAGAGCTAGAAAGTAGGCTAGAGGTTACCAGGAACTGGGGGAAAAGGGGCATGGAGAATTATTATTTAATGGGTACAGAGTTTCAGACTGAGGTGATAAAAAAGTTTTAGAAATAGACAACGGTGACAGCTGAACATTAAGTGGGACTAATGCCACTGAATTGTACACTAAATGGTTAAAATGGAAAATTTTGTTAGATATTTTACTACACTAAAAAAGTTTTTAAGTACAAAGGCAAGAAATTTTAAGAAATGTAATCTGAAGAAAAGTTCTCATGCTTAAAATCCTTCCATTTTTCTTACCACATTCAAGATAATTTTGAGATTCTTTTGTTCAGTGGACCTTCGGGATCTAGTCCACGTTTATCTCTCAAGTCATAGCTCCTCCTCCATGTGCACCCTCTGCTCTATGTGACAACTTGTTTCCAGATCAGCAGTGTGCTTTCCAAGCATCTTCTCTACTCCTGCTCTGAATCGCTCATTTCCATTATTCATTTAAAACGTAGTGTATCTCAACATCTCTAAAAATATTCTTGATCCCAATATTATTTAAATCCCCAACTTTCTTTGTTGCCATAATACCTAGGATCTCTAGTATAGCAGTTCTTATGATGTGTAATAATTATTTGTATCTTTTCCATTTGTATGAGTTTCTGGGGTCTTATCTGTATCTCTCCCTCCTGGTCTACTAGGTGTCACATAGTAGGTACTCAATAAATGCTTAATTACTACATTCCAGGGACTCTTCATCAATAACCCCTTTAGAGAACCAACTCTCCACTCAAAACCAACAGGGAAGAAAGGGTAAACATTCTTAGATATTCTTCTTTGTTTATAAATATCTAATACTTTGAGGCTCCATGAACAAAATCAATTTCATATCTATTGACTGGTTTTCATGCCCTGAGTCTCTAGGAAGGAAGCTATATAAATGATGAGTAAGGTGAGAAGCAAATTAGGAAGACAAGTCTCTTGCTGTGACCATAAACATTAAATAAATTAACCTTAGGTTGTTATACGTCTTCCAGACTCCACTTGACCTTTCTGGATACCTAATAACCTTCAGATCTGGACTGAAAAGTGCCAGGTCAGTCAATGACAGAGGTGGCAGTTGGATGGATAAATAATTGCCCCTATCCAAATGTTACCACATCTAATAAATAAAATTAATGACTTAAAAAGTAATCTTGCCGAAACTGGTTTGGCTCAGTGGATAGAGCGTTGGCCTGTGGACTGAAGGGTCCCAGGTTCGATTCCGGTCAAGGGCATGTACCTGGGTTGCGGGCACATCCCCAGTAGGAGATGTGCAGGAGGCAGCTGATCGATGTTTCTCTCTCATCGATGTTTCTAACTCTCTATCTCTCTCCCTTCCTCTCTGTAAAAAATCAATAAAATATATTTTTTTAAAAAATAAAAAATAAATAAAAAGTAATCTTGTTCTTTTTGTCCCTAGAGTCAAAGATTTAATGAGGTTAAAGGAACAAGTTCACTTACTGGGACAGATCCAAATCATTTTCTTTTCGTTTTCTTGGAAACTCTGTCACGTGTGGGCTGAAGGATCCAACAGCTGTTGATTTTGCCCATATGCTCATATGATTGGAAACCATTGGAGCAATGAACCAGTTGTCTTCTATCAATACTTTACCTATAAGAGGTAAAAAGATAAAGCACAATCCTATATAATAAAAGGCTAATATGCAAATAGACCGAACAGCAGAATGACTGGTCACTATGATGCGCACTGACCACCAGGGGGCAGACGCTCAATGCAGGAGCTGCCCCCTGGTGGTCGGTGTGCTTCCACAGCAGGAGTGCCGCTCAGGAAGACGCCGGACTCACGGCTGGTGAGCGCAGCAGTGGTGGTGGGAGCCTCTCCCACCTCCGTGGCAGTGCTAAGGATGTCCGACTGATGACTTAGGCCCGCTCCCCCCCACCCCCGGACATCCCCCAAGGGCTCCCAGGGTGCAGGCCGGGCTGAGGGACTTCCCCTCCCGCCCCCCTGAGTGCACAAATTTTGTGCACCAGGCCTCTAGTAAGATATAAAAAGATAAAGCACAATAAGATACCTAATTTTAAACATTAACTTTTACTTTATATATATCCATAGCACACATTTTAAATCGTTTTTCTGTCTTAAAAATATCAACTAAACAATATAACATAGAAAGAATAATTGTGTACATTTAAATATTAGAAATGTATTTGTTAGTCCATACTTTTAAATTTATTTTTCTCAATCTAATTGTTAAAAAAGTGAATATTGAAGAAAACATGGAAAACACAAAGAAAGTAGAAAGGAAGGGGGAATACCAAATTTCACAAACCAATGTTACTTTATTTAGAGATTTCCTTTTAGAATATCCCTATAGTTATTAAAGTAATTGAAAGCATCATGTATACTGTTTTATTTATACATCATTGTGATAACTTTACAGTGTGATTACAAATTCTTTATAAAATTATTCTAATGGCTGCATTATACACCATCATGTAGACGTGTCATAGCGTCTGAACTACTCTGCTGCTGTTAAAATGTATGTTTTTTACTTTTCACCATCACAAATGTGTATTGTGGTACATAAAGCTTTTTATCTGCTGGTTATTTCTTTTGAAAAGCATCCCAGAAATGATTTAACAAGGTCAAGGGACAAGAATATTTTAAACCCTGAATTAATAAATATTACAGTAAAACCCTTTTTGTCTAAAGTGTGTTTTTGTCTAAAGTGTGGTTTCTTACGTTTTATGAAATATAAAAATCAGAATCACTAACTAAAAATAATCTATAGCCCAAATGTGAGCCTCCTTCACATATTAAAATGCATATAACAAGTTTAAACTCATTTGTACCCTGAATTATATGGTGAAAAGATATAAGCAATATTTTACAAGGAGAGTGTAATCCATCTATAACAGTGGGCGAGTTTTAATATATCTCTATCTGTAACTGATAGTTTGAGCATTCAGGAATAATGACATAAAAGATCTAATCCACACATGAACAAGCTTGATATAATAAACATAGAGGCCATTCCAAATCCCGTGTTGTTTTAGAGTACCCATGAAGCATTTATAAAAATTGACAATATACTGGACCAAAACAAAGTAAATCTCAACAATTTCAAAAGATTGATATTATACATAAAACATTTTCTGACTACAGTGTAATTATTAGATAGCAGTAATAAAAAGATAAGTAGAAAAAACTTATATCTTAGAGAATTAAGAAATACATAATTAACTCATGGGGCAGGAAAGAATTCAATGTAAAATTATAAAATATTTTAAATTAAATAATAAAAATATCATACATGAAAATGTGTAGAGACCGTGAAAGCACTACTTAGAGGGAAATTTTAACCCTAAATGTTTTTTTTAAAAAAGAAAGGCTGAAATTTAATGAGCTAATAACTTAAGAATTAGAAATAGATGAGTAAATTAAATTCAAAGAACTAGAAGAAAGGAAATCATTAAAATAACACCACAAATAAATAGAAATACAAGCAAGCATAGGTCAAAAAAGCTAAACGTGTTCTTCCAAAGATAGGAAAATCTAATAACCCCATGGCAAGATTTTTCAAGAGAAAATGAGGGTATAAACAAATAAAGACAGAAATAAGCATAGAGTCGTAATTTCAGACGACCTAGAGATTTGAAAGAAAATAAAATCTCATGAACATTATTCTAAAGATTTGAAAATAATGAAAAAATTGCCAGAGAATTTTAGCTAACAAAACAGAAGCAAAGGGAAAAACTTATGCGTGCATATAAGCCTAACCAATGGACACAGACAACAGGGGGGTGTGGGCATGAGGGGGGGGGGAATGGGGGGATGAGGACACATATGTAATACCTTAATCAATAAAGAAATTTTTTAAAAAAAGAAAAACTTGCCCTGGCCTGGTAGCTCAGTTGGTTAGAGCATCATCCCGATAGCCAAGGTTGTGGGTTCGATCCCCAGTCAGGGCACATACAAGACACAACCAATGAATGCATCAATAAATGGAACAACAAATCGATGTGTCTCTCTCTTTCCTCTCTTAATCTCCCCTCCTAACCCCCAACACTCTTTTTTACAAAGCTTATATCATTTTGATATTAAAACCTATCTCATTCATGAAAATACAAAAATCTTAACAAAATATCAGCAAACAAAATTCATAAATGTATCAGAAGAATAACCCATCATGACTAAGATAGCTTTATCCCAGAAATGCAAGTCTGGTTTAATATTAGTAAATAAATGTATATAATTTACCACAATAACAGATTAATGAAAAAATGATTACAGCAACAGAAATATTAATGAAGACTGAAAGCATTCTCTTTACAATCAGAAACAAGAACACCTTCTATCATTACCCCTTTTCAAAATTATTTTAGAAGACCTGCCAGTTGAGTAAGGGACCAAAAAAAAGGTATAAGAATTAGAAAGGAAGAAAACTATTTTGCTACAATTGGGAAATGAGATGATTTGAGTATACAGAAAACCCAAATAACCAACAGATAAACTATTAAAATCAGAGAACAGAGTAAGTTGGCTGTATGTAAGATCAATATATAAAAATCAGTTGTGCCCTGGCTGGTGTGGCTCAGTTGGTTGGGCGCCATCCTGTGCACCAAAAGGTTGCTGATTTAATCCCTGGTCAAGGCACATACCCAGGTTGTGACTCGAGCCCCGATCCCTGGTAGGGGGAGAGCAGGAGGCAGCTGATGGATGTTTTGCTCTCATATCCATGTTTCTTTCGTCTCCCTTCCTCTCTCTCTAAAAATCAATAAACTATTCTTAAAAAAAAAAAAAAATCAATTGCTTTCTATTCACCAGTAACAAACAGTAAGAAAATGACATTTAAAAAGAAACAATTTATGCCATGACCGGTTTGGCTCAGTGGACAGAGTGTCGCCCTGCAGACTGAAGGGTCCCGGGTTCGATTCCAGTCAAGGGCACATGCCCAGTTTGCGGGCTTGATCCCCAGTAGGGGTCATGCAGGAGGCAGCCGATCAATGATTCTCTCTCATAACTGATGTTTCTATCTCTTTCTCCCTCTCCCTTCCTCTCTGAAATCAACAAAAATATATTTTTAAAAAAGGAAACAATTTATAATAACATCAAAAACTATAGAGTACCTAAGGAATAAATCTAATAAAAATGATATGATCTATAAGATTTTTATGGAGAAAGTTATGAAAAGTGTACATAAAATATTTTAAAAGATCCAAATAAGTGGAAAGATACGCTTATGGATTCAAGGCCTGAATATCATAAGAATGTCAATTCTCCTAAAATAGATGAGCAATTACTGTCAAAATGAGTTTTTGGGGTTTTTTTTGGTGGAACTTCACAAGCTGAATATAAATGTATACGAAAGTACAGTGGGTCACGACTAGCCGAGGAAAACATTGGAGGACTTGCCTTATCAGATATCAAGATATTATAAGACAATATACTATTGGCGATACCCAGTAGGGGATAAACAGACCAAAGGAAAAGAAATATAGAGCCCAGATATGTATATATGGACATCTGCTAAATGTCAGAGGTGAAATTTCAGATCAATGTGAAGAAACCAACTTTTTAATAAATGGTCCTGGACTAATTGGTTTTCTCTATGGAAAATAATAAAGCCGACTCCTACCTTATACCAAACATAAAAACCAACTCCAATTAGATATGAGACCTAAATGTAAAGGGCAAAAATATAATAGAGAAGACTGAGAGAGAATGTTTGTTATTGGTATAAGGAGAATTTCCCAAAACATAAAAAGTTAAAGCAATAAAGGAAAAGATTGATTGATTCGACTTCCTTAAAATTAAGTTAATGTTGATCAAAAGGCAACATAAAGAGAATGAAACTACAAATCATATATTTTGCTATACATGTAAACAACAAAGATCTAATATCTAGAGCACATAAACAACGCCTTTACTCTAATATGATGCCAAATTGGGTCACTTCTCAATGACAAATGTAATACATGTTATTTAGCACTCAGTAAAACAATTCAGAATTTAGATTGAACAAAGATACTGTTTTACAAAGGAAGTCTGTGGTTTTATTTTACTAGATGTACCAGTTAATCATGAGGATTTTTTTCAATAGATGGAGTTACACATATGTTGATATATATATATGTGATTTGATATGTATGCTATTTTGGTGTATTGACAACTAGCTTCAAAATTTCATATGTCAAATTTACTGAAGGTGTTAACATCATAGATATTTTTACACTTAAAAATGTCGAATTTCGTACCAAGAAAAGAGCATTTGCGGGAAGTTTTAATTCTTTACTTTATTTTGAAGAAAAGTGCTGCTGAAAGTTATCGTATACTTCGGGAAGCTTATGGTGAACATGCTCCATCTCAAGATACTTGTGGACACTGGTTTAAATGCTTTAAAAGTGATGATTTCAATGTGAAAGACAAAGAACATCCAGGTCAACCGAAAAAGTTTGAAGACCGACAATTACAAGCATTATTGGATGAAGATGCGTGTCAAACTCAAAAACAACTTGCAGAAAGATTAAACGTTGCTCAGCAAACAATTTCCGATCATTTACAAGCAATGGGAAAGATTTTTAAAGGAAGGAAAATGAGTGCCACATCAACTGAACGGAAGACAAATGGAAAACCGAAAAGTCATCAGT